AAACAAACATTAAGCATTGTTTTGGTATGCTATTATTTCAATGACCTTTCAGTTCTGTTTCAAAACTTCCAAGTGTATCACAAACTGGCAATTACATGCTTTTCATTAACCCTACAGTTTACTAACATGAAGGGCCACAGAGAAGATTTCAGGACATCCATCTAGGCATTCTCTCAGCTTATATAAACTTCAAACACCAAGCAGCTCTGGTGGGTGAAACTGCTGTACCAATGAATGTAAGTGTGCTCTTGAATGTGCAATTCCTCTATGAGAAAACCACCTATCAGGACTTAACTTTACAGGCACCTGCTCTGTTTTCTGTATCAGCTAACATTGTACATAATAATGCTCCCATCAAAATATATATTGCTCAAAGCAATATATATATATACATCAAATATAATCTAATAATATATCAAAGACTGTATTTCTGTAGAGATACCCATTCATGCACATGATGATGCAATACAGAAACTTTGTTCTGGCAAGATTTTAGCTTTAAGGACTGCACAAAACTTGCATGAGTGTTAACTTCTGTGCACAAGGGAACACTTTCAGCCTCCCCCAGTCAGCACTCTACACAACACATACATTAAGCTCCTTTGGGAAGAAAGAAAGGTTTGGGGTTTTTTCCATCTTTAAGGTTTTGCAGATCACTGTGTCTCATGTATTCCCCATTCTCTCTTCTTGTACTTCTCAAAGTCCAGGGCTGTCTCACTCAGTTGATCCAGGCCAACTCTGCAGCAGTCTCAGCTGGAACAGCAATGCCTGGTTTTTACCTCCACCTGGCTCAGCTCACCAGCTTTTGTGGACCTGGGACCTAGATCAAGCCACACCAGGGTCACACAGCACTTCTTCAGCTCATATGGTGCCAGTCTGGGGACAGCAGCACATGGCTTGCTGATTTTGAGGTACATCTATTCATTTCCTCACTAATTCTTAAAAGCTGTTCTTTAAAATCATCAGGTTCCACGAGCTGTTTCCAAAGACTTTCCCAGGGAAAGGGCAAGACCTTGAACCCCTCCTGCAGCAGAGCTCCTCATGGCCAGGCAGGACTGAATGGCACCAAAGAAGGTCTGATGGGTTGATCCCAGTATCCTCTGTCAGGGCTCCATGTGCTTTCACAGGAGGTGTCTCTTCCTTGCACAAGCTGTGGAGAAGACCACAGGTGACAGCCCAGGGCAGGTTCTTCTGCCTTCACAGAGCAGTGTGGAGATCTCAGCACAATCTTCAGGAGGATACACCTTGGCTTTTACCTTCTAATGTAGAACTAGTATAAACTGATGCAAATAAATGAGATTATGCTGTGTCTTCGAAAGAAGCTTATGTCTCTCATGAATTCTTGGGTGTTTTTTTAGACTATGAAAGCTGAATTCCTCTACACAGCTGTCAGGTCGATTTAAAAATTTCCTTGCAAAAAGTAATGATTACTAATTTACTTACTATTTATATTGCTCTGTGAAAGCCTACAGCCTAATGGTCTGGCTGAAAACAACAAAAAATACCTACACGAATATACACATTTGTCACTAGGAACTAGTTACATGCAAGTGCCACTCTGACTAACCTGTCTGTAATTATTAAAATATCTTCTAGGACCTCAGCTGTCCCTAGAATAGAAGATTTCTTGCCTTCCTGCTTTTTATTTAGGGATTTCCTGTTTCATGGCTCCAAGATGCACACCTTAAATGCACAGGACCAAAACAAGACTGCCATTAGAGGGATGAGTCCTTACAGTTTCCCTGTAACAAACCCACACTAAAGTTCTGAGCAGGATATTCTAGGGAGACTTAAAGCAGAGAAGGAATTTCATGTATGAATTGCTGAGAAACACTTTACCATAAATGTAATCTGAATTCTATCATATAATGAATTTTTTTTCTTGGAATTACATTTCTGCTTTTGCCTTCCTCTGAGCACCCCCTCAAGAGCACACAGAAAAGAGACCCAGCAGTACAAAACACAAAACAAAGTGGTAGTGCCAAATGGCCAAGCCAGCACACACAGAGGTCAACCACTGCTGTTCCCACCGACATCAAAACTGGAGATAAAACCTCTGATGTGCAGAACCCAAAACAGCACCCTGCACATGAATGGCTCCTGTGGCTTTCCAGTTACCAGCATCTCTGGCCACCCTGCGGGGCTGTGTAAATGAGGAAGCCATTTCCCTGCCCTCAGACACCACGTGAGGGACTGGGCACGGATCAGGACACGCGGCCATTCCTCTCCTCCTCCTCGCCAGGCTCCTGTGAGATAAGCGGGTGAGCCCTGCCAGAGCAGCATCATGGCAGTGCTGAGTCAAAGCACTGGCCCTGGAAAGGGGACACCTCCAAAATCAACACCCAGTGCTTCCCAGCTGGCAGGGCAGGGCTGCACCGGAGGGGGAAGGCAGGCTCTGCTGCAGGGACCAGCTGCTACAGGGACACAGCACTGTGTGAATCTTCCATTAAACCGTGCAAGACACTTCATAGATCTTAATGTAATTTTAGTTAAACACAGGGAGAAACACTGTGATTGGTATTATCTGCTCATACACCCACAGTGCTGGAGGAGGGGGTTGTTAAAAAGAAGAAAATAGAAATTGCAGGAGTCCTTCACACCAATACATCAGGCAGCTAGAACTGTACACACCTCATCTGCTTTTGTGAACACCCATTTGCACATACAAGGATCTTGCACTAATTTGCAGGTTCTCACCAGGAATAATAAAAATCTGGCTTCAAGTGTAGTTTAACTGCAGGAGGCACAGCAAGCAGCAGCAGTTAGAAACATTAGTTGTGTAATCACAAGACATACTGTGCAGTTTACCTATTTTGACCTTGAGATGGCAAAGAAGAAAAGGTAGCAAGGCAAGTACTATATGGTCCATCTACTACAAAGATACAACACAGAACTGAAAGTGAGATCAGTGATTGAACAATTAATAGATTCTCCTTCTGGCCCTGCATCTGCTGCAAATGCTGCTGTGCCTCATTTACTGTGCTGCTTAAACATGTTAAGGCAGAGCAAAAGGAAAAAGAAGAAAATAACTGAAGGAAAAAGAAAAGGAATATGCAGATAAAAGAAAATTCTTAATGATGAAGCAGGAGGAGAGGAAGAAATTGAACAGAATGAGAAAGAATCATAATTGGGACCAATTTTTTTTTCTTTTCTTTTAAGAAAGTGTGACCGAAGGACAGAATTAAGAGAATGAGAAAGAATCATAGTTGGGACCAATTTTTTTTTTTCTTTTCTTTTAAGAAAGTGTGACCGAAGGACAGAATTTTAGATGCAGTTATTTTCCTGAAGACTCTGTCAGCAGAACTTCTGCCCTGCCAATGTCCCTGCCTTAGCCAGTGCACTGCATTCCACTGGCCAGGCCTGTGTTTGTGAGCTTGAGCCTTCCCCAGTTCCTCTCATCTCTAGGATGACCACGTGGCTATTAGGCAGAGCTGTAGTTTACTCATATTACAATTAAACTACAGGAAAGCATGTAAGCATGCAAGGGAAGTGATGGTCTAGCTGCTACATAACTGCAGCCACAGAACAACACACAAAAACCCCCCACGAGTATCCTGCTGTGCCATCAACCACCTTTCACGTAATTCAGGAGCACGCAAACAGCTTTACATCAGATCCACACGCACCCCCCTCACTTTCTCTGGATGCGGGAAAACCGAAAGACCGCAAGCTACACAAAAAAAAGAACAAAAACCACCGGAGCAGGCGTTTATCCTGCTGCCTGCAGGGTGAGTGAGAGGCAGCGGCCCCGCAGCGAGGGTGCCACAGCGGGCAGCGAGAGGCAGAGCCCGCACGGCCTGCGCTCCCTCAGGGCAGCTCCCGGAGCCCTCCTGCAGCCCGGGGACCGCCGCACACTGCGACACGGTACTGCACCCCCGGAACACTGCCCCCAGAACGGGGAAAATAAATACACACCCGCTGAACACTGCCCCCAGAACGGGGAAAATAAATACACACCCGCTGAACACTGCCCTCAGAACGGGGCACATAGACACACACTGAACACTGCCCCCAGAACGGGGCACACATACACACACACACTGAACACTGCTCTGAGAACGGGGCACATAGACACACACCGAACACTGCCCTCAGAGCGGGGCACACACACACACACACACTGAACACTGCCCTCAGAACGGGGCACATACACACACACACTGAACACTGCCCTCAGAACGGGGCACATACACACACACACCCACTGAACACTGCCCTCAGAACGGGGCACATACACACACACACACTGAACACTGCTCTGAGAACGGGGCACATAGACACACACCGAACACTGCCCTCAGAACGGGGCACACACACACACACACACACACACACATACACACACACACACACTGAACACTGCCCCAGCACGGGGCACAGCACAGCTCCGCACCAGGCGCGGCTGCAGGCTCTAAGCTTGTCCTGGCCAAGCCCGGCTTTTCCCGGCGCTGCACCGGCGGGCAGGCTGGGCTCAGGAGCTGCCCGCTCCCGTTCCCAGCTCACACTCGGCTCCCCGGACAGGACACGAGCCCACAAGGAAAGAGACGGAGGGGAAAAACGGATCTCTAGGTACGTACATGCAATATGAAAATTAACTGCACTTTAGGCATACTTTAAAAGAAAGGTAAAATAACCATGTGTGACACATTGTTCCAGAAAATCATTCACCTTAATCACAAAAATACTTTGTACTTACAGCATTTAACACCTCTAGCTGTAAACAGATTCTTTGTCAGTAACAATTCGGTTAACCAGTTAAAGCATTAATCAGTCCAAAGCTAACTATTAGGGATGCTTCCAAAAGAGCATACCAAACAACGGAGGAAAAAAAGCCACATAATACTATAACTATTAGATTTTAGTTGATAAAAAAAAACCAAAACCATCTTAATAAATTATTCAGTGAGAATCAAAACAATTTCAACAAAATGTTCTTCAATAAACACAGTAATTCAAAGGTCAGCCATACATCTTTTAATTAGCTTTTTTCCAAGACTTACCTATGTTTTTCTAGTTCGTTGTGTGATGACCTATTAAAAAGAGAAAAGAAATATTAGAGAAAGGATAAATAAACCAAGATTTAGAATATTTAAAAGCCAATACCTGCATAAATTGCAAAAGAGTTCTCTAAAATATGTATTTAACATGGATTATGAAACAGCTTTTCTTTTAAATTGGTTCACTTTTAGATTCTTCAGGGTATCAACTTAATTTCCATGAGTAAACTGTAGGTTTGGGGGGAATTATAATATATTTGCATTTATTAGTGTTCTATACATTTGGAGACAGAAATGAACATTAAAAACTGAGCAGGTTAGTAATAAAAACAGCCCACAAGATTTTTATTGGTGAAGAAAAATTATGAGGGGGCAGAAAATGTTTGAAGATCTAAATTGTAACAGGTAAGAGCAAAAAGCACCCAAAAAGCCAGTTTTCAAAGCCCATGGAAAAGCAGAAAGAAAAATCAGCAGCTAATCACTGCTGTTGTTGTTGACATCTTAATCGCAACAAAAGAGGAATCCTCTTAATTCTTCTCAGTCTACAAAGAGAAAATAAAACTCAAAAAAATCATAGCCCCTGTACTGACCACAGCAGCATTTTATCCTTTTCCAATCTACTTGGATTAAAGATTTTTTTTCTTCTCCAACTGATGCCTCGGATTCTTTGCCATTAGAAGGCAGCCCTAAATTCTTGGAGGATTTTTTTTTTAAACTGAGATTCAGCTAAAAATATTCACTTTATTTATTTACACAGCTCAGATTAAAAACATTCCTAAAATGAAGTTACTGTTGCCTCTTCAGAACCAGCAATTTTCCGTACTTTCAGTTTTGTCCCACTGAAAACATGCCCAGCACGTCGGGATCAAAAGACGCAGAGGCGGTGGCAGCTTTTAGGGCTGGCAGATTATGTCAGAGCAGCTCTGCTGGAGCCTGCTGCAACCCCAGCCTGCAGCTGGGCACGGGGTGCAGAGCAAGGTGTCTTGGTGCAGGGCAAGTCCCTCCAGGGAGCAGAGCCATCCCAGGGGATTAGGGAGCCCTCCTGCACGAATGCTGCCTGGTGCTGAGCTGTCCTGCTCGCCCTGCACACACCGAGCTGCTGGAAGCTGCTCCTGGGTGGGACCGACGGCAGAACGTCACTCCGGCCATAGGGAGGGAAAAAGAAAGCAAAGCTCACACAAGAAACATCCAGTGAACAAACCCAACTGATCTCAGGCCAGGGCAGCTCCTGATCCTGCAAGGAACCAAGTGAACTGCCCCTCTGCAGGTAAAACTGAAATGCATACAAGGTTCAGCACTGTGATGCTAACCCACTCTCACCAGAAAGCATCTCAGTGTTGGTACCAAGACATCAACTATGTCAACCATTACCTGCCATCTTTTTCTCAAAAGCCAATTAATTCTTTATGTATTTTTGTTGCATCAAGTGAGCCATGATCAAGTAATGTGTGTATTTCTACAATGCCATTTAAGTGCTCCTGACCAATGCAGCAACACTACATGAGTTAAACACATTTTCTGTGTTACATTAATGGGGCAAGGTGGGCTTGGTCATTTGGCTATCTTAAGATGGTTTTGTTTTTGTATTCTACTCCTACTCTCTACACAGAGATCAGACTTTCTCTACAGCCATTTCTCCACACCAATGTTCACAAAAATTGACAAAGACCATGCTAAATCCACCCATGTTTATAAAGAAAACACATGGAAAAAAGTTCAGTGGGGAACCATTGCCCCCGAACACCCTCAACAGGCCTGTCAAAGGGAACTTTGGAACCAGAGAGGAAATACAGGCCAGCCTGGATTCACCTCTATGACAAGAACTCCTTGACATTTCTGGCAATTAGACACAAAGATGAACACAATCACTCCAACTGGCCCATTCTGAGCTGCCAGCTCCCAACAGCTCTGGTGAGCACACACAGGGACAGAATGGGAACCTTTGGCCAAGAAATTCAGCGTATTCTGCTGGGCTGAGAGGATGCTGTGAGCAGCTGGGGTTCCTGCACACAGCACAGCTACAGGGCACCTGTGGCACATGGAAGGTGACCCTGGCATCCTCCTGGGGTATGTCCTGCCAGGGCAGCTCTGGAGCACACAGCCGTGGGTGTGCCAGCTGCCAAAGCCAGCAGCAGCGACCATGTGCCTCTTGGCAGAGCTCTTGGGGACACAAAAGCCTCAGCGACGCCTGCAGTGTGCAAACGTGGGCACCAGCCACACACTTCTGGAGCTGTCAGGGGCCAACTAATGCCCCAGCTGTCAGACTCCAGGCAGGAACCAAACCCAAGAGTCCATTTACCTGAGAATTGCTGCATCTACAGAGCAGGTTAAATACCCTATTACAAAGCATGACAGGGATTTCTTTGGTTGGGCTTGTTTTCAGAAGAGATGAACCTCTCTTGAAATACTGGTTTTTATTTCCTTCAATGTCTACAGCACAGTATATTGCAAGAATATCCATCTCCTGCTGTTTATGCAACCTAAAGTGAGGGGAAAAACCCTAAGAACTGGACTCCACACAACCCAGTACCATGTTTCAAAATGGAGTCTTTTACTATTTTAGTAAAGATAAGATGTAGGTCACAACTAATAAGATATATGTATATATGTATTCATAAGAGAGAGACAGATATATGACTGTGGTTTGCAGGCAAATGGTTTGTGGAGCTTTCAAAAATGGCTTCAAGAGAAGGAAGACTTCTGGTGTTTAACTAAGGTTCACTCCACTGAGTTTGTATCTACAGAAAAAGCTTGGGGAAGTTGGGGGTAGCAGTGAAGGGGGAAAAAAGATAAAAAGGTTCAGATAAAAATGAAGGGAAAAAGCTAACAACAAAAAAATCTGCAAAATCAGAGATTCACAAGAAAGGGATAATGACACTGGTGCTTAGACTACACTGTTGATCTGAGACAGCTCTAATATCCCTTTAGCAAATGCCAAGCAGTTCACTGACTATAAATTTTATATGTGAAGAAATTGTCAAAAGAAGATTTGAAAGAACAAGGAGGAACCAAGCAAATGCAGCCACTGGTCTGCAAGACGCTGTGCTACTTCTCACAGCACACCCCCAGAGCCATCCCCATCCATCACCTTCCTTTCCTCAAACGAGAATTCTAGGTATTGGGTTTCAGCTTTTGGTTGGTTCAACATTCAGCAGACACACCTAAGAAATTTGGACAGGTGCTAACGGAGATGGCAAGACTAACACAGAAAGGCAAGGGCCCCTCCACTGCCACTGCTGCCAGTTTATGGGTGAGCCAGCAGGATCTGGTCACACGCAGGCTAGATTGAGACTTCACTGTGTGCGGGATGCACAGCCTGTTTCAGTATTCAGACAGCTTCCCTACTCCTCCATCCATCCATCCATCCATCCATCCATCCATCCATCCATCCACCCATCCATCCATCCATCCATCCATCCCACCAGAGGGGCATCTGCTCAGCAGGAAGCCAGCAGCTCCTGGCAAAAGCAGGGATGTATGGCAATGCTGCCCTGTGCTAATGGGAGCAGGTCTAGACCGTGACTCACCACTACATTTCCAGTTGCCAATGCACTTTAGAGCACTACAGGGAGCAAAGCAGGGCAGTTTACAGAGTGCTTGAAACAGTGGCAGCACCTTACCAGTGCCAGGGCTTTCTGGTGCAGGCAGGACTGCCAGGCTGTGATACAGCCCACGTGCAGCATACAACTCCACCTCAGGTCATGCAGCCATGGGAACTACACTGCAAGCACTTCACCTTTTGTCCAGGCCAAAAAAGTAAGAACAAACAGAACAGGAAGCTTTACAAGGTACTACACCTTAAGTGTCTGCACCCTGTTCCCACTCCCAGAAGTGCAGGTGTGTAAAAGCACAAAGCTTACACCTGCAGTCTTGTGTGAATACGACTGCTGTGCAGCTTTTCATTGAAAGGATCCAAATTCACTTCCAGGAAATTCCCAAACCTGCTGTGGAATGCACTTGAAAATATTACAGTTCACTCCACGAAACACATATAAACCTGAACATAAGCACACATTCTGCCTATTATTCATTGCTTCTGGTTGTTGGTTTTTTCCCATTTGTTTCAAACTGGACACATTGCTTACAGCCTGTCAAAGAAACAGCCTGTACCAAATTAATCCACTAAAAATTAATTTTGCATTCTCCTCATAGCAAAATTTAACCGGTTTTGCAGATTCAGCTGGGATCTGGGAACCAGGCACGCTGGCACAGCCTTGATGCAGAGTTCTGGCTCTGGGATCACATTCAAGTTGGTGCTGCCACATGTTTGCAGTGGCCAGGTCTGAACGTGCTTCTAATACGGTGGCAATTTGTTTTCCTCAACTGCACAAGCAGTGCAGCTCCCAAACATTGCAGACCTACTGCAGTTCCTCAGAGGGACAGGTCCATTGGTGAAGTCTGTTATATTGGGACTAAAATGCATTATTTTGAAAGCAAATATGGCAGTATCAATTGCTGTCCTAGCTTCAGGAAGGCAAACTGAGAAAGATCTATCGAATTCAGAAATCCAGGTGAAAATTCAGAGGAGCTGTGTCTGCACAGTGTGCTTTGCAGTGTTTTATTCTTGGCCTCTCACAAAAAAAAAAAAAAATTTAAGGAAAAATAAAACAAAAATCAGGCCCCAATCCCTAAGCTGCTTAGTGTGGGCACAGAAAAACATCTGCAGAGAGCAAGGGGCTCGCTCTGCGGGCCACAGGTTCACCCTCACCATGAGCCAACATCAACAGAGGAATTTGGACATTAGGCTCTGTTTTTATTTGAAAATCCAAATGCAGCTTTCATCTTTTTCTGCATATAACCCTTTGCCAGAACACAGCACGAAGTACATGACTATTTATATAACATATGAGCAAAAATATTAATTAATTAATAGACACAGAAGATATATTTATAACCCGGCATTTATTTTGCTCCCTCTCCTTCAATAAACCAGCTCCTAAATTAACAGGCCAAACACACTGCATCACCGACATTCAATTCCTTTCTCTGAAAGTAAATTTAACTGTGACCTCAGTAGACTGGCATCTAACACTAAGATTTGGCTTTTCATTTTACCTTATTTCTGACCCTTTCATGGCGAAGCAGCTGCCCGAGCTCCCTGGTGCATGGGCAGACTCACACCTCAAACCCACACACAGCTCAGGGTACCCAACACCTGGTGAGTGTCACTGCAGCCAGGGCAGAAGAAAGCCCAGTTATCTGCAGGATTGCATGTTCCTCTGTAAGAGTGCTTTGCCTTGTGAGCAAACGTCACCAAATTTCAGATTTGTGTCGCATTCCTCCTCGGCACATGGCACACGTGTCACCTATCTGTTTCTTTGGAGCAAAAACCAAGCCTGACTTTTGAATATTTGCTATTAACATTTCCAAGGTACAACAGCAATAAATCCAGCTCTTTGTTTTATGCCTTTTTAATTCTAAGTACACCTTAACAAGAATTATTAGACTGCATGGCACTGCTTTAGGAATTACATACAGCCACTGCTCTGCGGAGACATTTATTATACTATAGTCAAGTACCTGATAAGTATTATTGTAACAAGATGTGACCTAGGTTTACCTCCCTCCAAAAGATAATATTGTGGCTTTCTCTAATCTCCTGTCCTCTTTGCAAAACAAGAATCCAGTTTCATTTGCCAGAGGATTTTGGTCAAAATTACCGGGGGGAAACAAGTCTGAATCTCAGCTGAGGATATGGTACGAACAGAAAACCAGAAAGAAAACAAAGCAGTCTGGTTTGTGTGACATGGGAAAGGGCACATCACAGGAAACTGAGAAGAAAACATGTAAGAGCAAGACATTTTAATGTGCAAGTGAAACAGAAATGGCTAAAATCTGTGCCTGATTCCTACCAATAACACCGAGAATATTGTTTATCAACAAACTGCTAACAACCACTTTCAATTTTGATTCAAAGCTAGAAGTGGACAAAGCAAAACTGCTAAATTCCTACAGTGGACAGAAGGCTTACAGATTTTGGTTAATTAAATGCAATTCTGCTGGTATTTTTCCCTGCACGAATCGAAACCTGCCAAAATTACTTCTCACTCAATTGCAGTGAGAGGCCAGCAAGCTTTCAGCCCAGACCCGAGCATCCTGTCCGAAGGGCTGGCAGCCTCCTGCCCCTGCTCCTGCAGGTCTGGGCCTCGCCAGCCATCCACAAGGGATGGAGGTCTCATCCTACATTTCTTATATGAACACCACCAGCACCTCAGCAGAGCAAGGAGGGTCCATCAGTGCCCTTGGTGAAGCCCAGGGCAGCTGGAACCCATCCCTGCCCTGGGCCAGCACACCTGTGCCACACTGGGTATGCTCTTCCCCCCACAGGCAGGCACACGGGGGGGAAACACAGAACAAAGAGGAGTACAGCATGCCAGGCTTCCTCACATCTGACAGTTTTTCTCCTCCTCCCCTCTTTTCTGATTTTCCAAGAATAAGGAGATGGTTTTTTTTCATGGTTTTCTATATGTATACCTCATAAGGCATGAAAAAAGCACAATGTATGTACATATATACATGTCTCACTTTTTAATCTGATCAGATGCTGCAAGCAGCAGGATACAAAAATAGATAATGGAAACAACAATGCCCCTGCAGATCTGAAATGTGCAGTTAGCTGCTCCTTTCCTACTCCTCCAACCTTAAGTATGTATTTTTAATCCAGAAAAACAATGAAATAATAAGGCATGAATTTCAGACATGTATGCAATCCCCTGTACGCAATCAGATGCCTCCCTGCATCTAATGCTCCAAACCCAACGAGTCTGGAAAATGGTTAAAGTGGAACAATATGGGCTAACACTTTGCTCGGTGGTTCACATCACCCACGACCACTCCAGATCCTCTGAACTTTGGCCAGTCGTCTCCCTCTGTTAATCTTTGAGTCGCTTAGGAAGAATTAACTGTGTTTCCAAAAATCCACTCCAGTCTGGGGCTTGGCCCCTATAGCCTCTAAGCTCCAAATAATAATAAAACAGTGATGCTGGTGTACATCATATATTCTGCCCTGCATAATTAAATGTGGGGGCAATTTCTCCCCCGCAAACCTAAGCGTGCAGGCAAACACGAGCAGCGATTGCTGGGTATGGGTATAAAGCCCGTAAGGACAATGCAGAGGTACCCACAGGGCCCTGCTGCTGCCCCTCTGTCCCTGAAGGAACAGGGAGATGCATTAAAGCACTGTCCCTCTGCTTCCCACACAGGCCAGCAAGCCTGGTACCTGTGCTGAACCACACCAGCCACTGTCCCGCAGTGTCCGCGCTGGAAACCACTCCCTGACAAGCACTGTCCTGTCCTGTCACACAGATGACCCATCCCTCATCTCATCACTGCAGCTAGAAGAAAAGAAAGTGTGGGTAAATGTACACATTGCAGGGTGGCATTATTCAAGGTTGCCACTGCTACGGAGTGAGAATCAGAACAACGCGCTAAACAGGTAAATAAATACAAATCTGCAGGAAGGTAACTGCAAGTGGATGTGTGTGCCTCAACTTCAATAATACTAGCAAATCTATAACCAGAAATCTTTTAATTCTGCTGTATTTGATAGATTACAAATCCTCTCCTAAAAACTCCTGAAAGCAGCTTACAATTCAGACAAATAACTATTTTGCAGCGGATGACAAGAGCCCTAAGAACGGAAACGATGGAATAATAGCTCTGTAAGTAACACAGATTTCTTGAATGCAGGAGACACACAAGAAATCTGTGCAACTCAAGGGGCAATTTACAGCTGGAAAACTTATGAAATGTGTTTTGAATTTTTTTAAAGGCAGTGAGCATACTTTATATGAAAATAATTAAAAATCTCAAGGAGCAAAGTGTCTCAGGACACAAGACACTCCTCCCACTCCTTACGACTTTCTCTTTTAAAATGAGCTGACTGTCTTCTCATGCTCCACGATGAGACAAAGAATTCAACTAAAACTAAAACCAAAGTAGGAGTACTGCAATTAACAGCCCCCAAAATGGTTGCCTTGCTCGGAGCAGGGGCATGGGGACACAATTTGCTTCCCCTCAGTAATCTTGGAGACACTGCTCGGCCGCAGCAGGCACCACCAGGGCGCTCAGCAGCCCGTGGCTTTGCTCAAGGAGGGAGTTCATCAGCTTTTGATTTCGGTTTGCACCTCCGGTGCCCCACGAGCAGCTCCCGGCCGCCTGCCGGGCACCTCCCCAGCACCAGCCGAGCCGGCCGCAGGATGCCCGCTGGAGCAGCGGGAGCGGGCCCGCCGAGACTCCCTGCTCCTTCGGAAAACAAGTCACGTGCAAAGCAAGTTCATTTTAGGCTATTCTACAGGAGCCACCATCCAGCGTGACCGTGCAGAGCATCGCTGCAGGCCCAGCAGGGCACGGTCCTCGGTGCTGTCCGGAGCAGCCCTGGAAGAGCAGAGCAGAGCAGGCAGAGCCCAGGGCCGGGGCGGGCAGCTTCCCCGTAAGACAGGCAGCCTCCCGCACGTACACAGCCGCTGCCCGAGCGGCAAACAAAGCTGCGGAGCCTGCGCACAGCCGCGCTCGGCCCGTGCCATCGCAGCGCAGGTAGCGGCTGCGGGGCAGCCACGGACCCGCGGCGGCCGACGGGCGACAGGCGGGACAAACAACCCCGAGCCCGCAGCTGCCCGGCCGGCCCGAGCGGCCGCGGGCGGAAGGGCTGGCGGGCCGGCGCTGCAGCACAGCCCGCGGGCAGGGCGAGCTCGCCCCGGCACCTTCTGACCCCGCGGAGAGGCCGAGCGCGGGCGGAGTGTCCCCCCCGCCGCCCCGCACACGCTCCCGGCCCGGAGCCCCGCGCCGCCGCCAGCGGAGCCGGCATCGGCTCGGGCTGCCACGGGGGAGGCGGCCGGCTCGCCGCCCGCGGGTAATAAATGAACGCCGGGGGGGAAATTAGGTGCCATGCAAAGAGAAATCTGGGTGGCGATTATGCTGTTTAGGTCTGCAGCGAAAGGCGCTGTCGGCGAGCGCGGAGCAGAAGGAGCGATGAGGGCGGATGGGTCTGAAGTGCAGTGAGTACTAAGGAGATGGTGTACGCGTGGCAGTGTTTATATGAGAGATCAAAACAGAGCCAAGCCCATCCAGGGGAAAAATGGCGACTACCGGGATGGGGAAAACTGAGACACTGGATTAGTTATTATTTTTCATAAATGTATGCACTGCACAAAAGCTAGACACATTGGAAAAGCTGACGATTCATTCTGAAAAAGCGGTGCGTCTATTACCTGTTATTCTGGGATTTTCTGGCCATGGTGCCTGCCTTTGTTTTCTTTCTGGAATAGTCACTATCGAAGGGTAACACTGATGCATAGCCATGTTCTGCTTCTAGGGACAAAGTCAGCATTAGTGGCAATATATTTTTTCCATGCAATTTTTTCCTCCTTTGCAGGAACGCTAGGGTAAAGAACAGAATTTTTTCCGGTTGATTTGTTGGGATTTTATTCTGGCATCTCTTAAAGAAGAGAGACAAAAAAAAACATAACTCGGTAAACCAAAGGGGGGGGAAAAAACAACCCCGAAGTGTCGAAATTAGGAGGATTATTGGAGTGCACATTAAAAACGAGGCGGATCATGCAAACCCTTGTCACGCTGCGCTGGGGGAGGGGAGCTGCCATACAATCACCGACTGCCACACACGGAGCGGCGAGAGGGATCCTGCCACACGCACCGTCCCCATCCTGGGCGGCACAAACAACCCCCTTCTGCTTTGCTTGGGGGGGTAGATATTAAAAAAAAGGCCAAGATCCGAGCAGCGATGCTCCCCCAGCGCGGTGCCGCTGGCGCAGCCCGGGTCCCCCCCGGGCAGGTGCGGGCTCGGGGCCGCTGCCCCGGCCCGGCCGCCGCACAACAAAGGCCGAGAGCGGCTGGGAGCGCCTGCGGGTGCCTGACCGACTGCCCGCCTGCGCCCTGTACCTCGGTCTCTTCGCTCCAAGTACTCGGCCGCTTCCAGGAGGATTAACAGGGAGTTCAATTCCATGGCTGCCCGTCCCGAGCCCCCCGCGCCGAGTTCACGCGCGGGGACTCCCGAGCCCCCGGTTTTAAGGCACCTCGCTCAACCTACATTTGACACACAGCGGACGGGCAGCCCGCGCAGCCAATGGCGAGCGGCGCACGGCCGTGGGGCGGGACGTAAGGAGGCGGCTGGGCCAATCGGCGGCCAGAGGCCCCCCCCCGGCCGGGCAGGGGATGTTGACAGATCCCCGCCGCCCGCGCTCATTGGCTGCCCCTGTAGTAACAATTTAGAAGCCGAAGCTTAGCAACAGCACGTGGTGGCCCGGCCCCCTCGCCCGCTCATTGGCTGCTTCCTTGCATGTTAAGAAGGCCGAAGCCTCCCATTGGTGCGCGGGGCATCATGCAAATGAGGGCGGAGAAGGGGGCCAATGGGGCGGGAGGCGCGTGCCGCGCGGCGGGAGGCGGGGAGAGAGGCGCGGGCAGCCAATGGGCGGGAGGGGGCGTGGCGTTGCCGTGAGGAAGCGGTAGGCGGAGGGCGGGTCCGCAGGAGGCTCCGCCCCCTCGCACGCGCGGGTGGGACGCGCCGGGCGGGCGCGCGCGGGGCAAGCGTGAGGGAAAACGGGAAAAGGGAACGGGGAACAGGGACAGCGGGGTGGCGGAGCCCGCCAGCGACAGTGTGGCAGGAAACGGACGGGCACGAAAAGGACGATACTAACGGGACGCCGGCGGGGCTGTGCAAATGTGCCCGGCACGCGCATCCGTGGCCCCTTGCGGTGCTGAGGCGAGCGAGGGAGACGGCAGCGCTGTAAAAATGGGAGAATCACTGAACCCTGCACAATGGCCTAACCTGCTGCGAAAGAGAAACGGTGGGGAGCTGTCAGGAGCGCGGCCGGAGCTGCCGCCGCCCTTGCCGGGCGCTGAGCGCCGCTGGCCGCGGGGACGCGGGAGCCGTGCGGGGAGCAGCTCCCGGCGGCAGCGCCTCTGCGCCTTCCCTGCCCGCTCTGCCGGCTCTGCCGCCTTATCTCGGGTGGCTGCTGCACAGCTGGTGCCGAAAACCGGTTGGTTTTAGCACGAGCGAGTGTAGTTTTAAAATAGGCATGTTTTAAGCTGTGCTGTGATCACACGTTGGTACATCTTCAGGCCAAAAGTGCTGAAGGCTGTAATCAGTCATCCTGCGGGACGGCACTTGGGCACACAAATACCCATTGGTTTTAATTGAACTGTTTAGGTAAGAGCTGCCCAGCATATAGGATGGATGCAGTGTTGTCCCTGTGTGCTCATTCCTTGGCAAAAGATGTCATCCAGAGTTTCCTTTTAAGAGGATAATAGCAGTTCAGATTAAAACAAGGATTATGGTTTACTGTTTCTACAGCGTTGTGGTAAAGCCACATATACATTACACCTGAGCTTGTATTATTCTGTGTCTTGTTGGCCCAGATGCACAAGTGTAATGTGGCTCTTGAACATTGCTGAAACACAGATCACATTTTACTGCCATTTGGTCCAGGCACCAGGGATAAGAGAAAATACAAGGCAGTGAAGAAAGCAGCATTGTGATTGTAGTTTAAGAGAATTTTGTATATGTTTAGGAAAAGTCTGAAGGACTGTAAATTACAAGGCAAAAGGGAATTTAGTGCATAGATTGCACAGGTAAAAAAAAAATTGCTGTAACATTTTCCACTTGCTGCTTGAACTGTTGAAATCCTGCTGCATGTGGGTGAGACAGTACAGTTTTTACTGTAAAGCCATTGAACCTCGTGGCAGTTTTGCTGTTAACTGGAAGTAGGTTTAGACACAATTTGACATTGCCTTCTGTTACGAAACAGCATGAAACCACACATGCACAGGTCTGCTTTGTCCACACAGGAAAGAAAGCTCCCTTGGCCTGACACGTGCGTAGGGCACTCAGTGAGGAAGATGCAAAGATGCACAGCTAAGGCATCATTGCCCTGCACTGCATCCACAGCAGTACCTCAGGCCTTCAGAACACCTATATTTGTATGTTAGTGTAAATTATCTTAAACTGCTTTGTACACGTGCTGTGCAATCAGTCATACATCAGAAAGGCAGATGAATGTGCCAGGTATGAGGTGCTTGTGTGAAAGCCCAGGATTCAGGTATGGATTTACTGAGGCTCTGAATGCCAAAAGCTCTGCCCCTCCACACTGTGAGTACACCATTTTACCTGGAAAAAAGCTCTGGAAACACAGGGGTATAGCAACCACTGCACAAGACTGTGCTTCAGGAGGGTACACAGCCCGAGCTGAGCACCCTGCCCTCACCAGACACTCCTTGGAGCCCGGGCTGATCCGAGTGCTGAGCTGAATCCACCCTCACCCTGCAGTCCCCATACCCAACTCAGCACCCCTGACCACTCCTGAGGTGAAAACCACTGCTCTCTCTGCTTTCAAATGTGGACACAAGTATGGAAGACAGTTGTTTTAAGGAGATGGAGCACAATTTCACATTGATATTGGCACTTGCCAGGGCCTTGTGCCTCCACGCTTCCCTGCTGCTTTGGTAAGTGAAGAAGCCAGCTGGACTAGGTGCAGGAGAAAGTGTTGTGCAAAAAGGGGCCAGTGCCATCACAAAAGGCACCTGGTCTCTGATCACGGTGGCTCTCAGCCTCAGGAGTCATGAGCTGCATTAGTCTGCTGGAGCTGTAAGTGTGTATGTAACCCCACACACTCTCAGAGCCCCTGCTGATGAAATCCAGGGTAAATGCACACACATTTGGGAAGGACAGGGCTGGCTCATGCCTGACAATCACTGACACGCATTTACCCAGAGCTGCATTGAAGAAGCAACAAAGCAACAACATGTTAGTGCTGAGAAGTTTTATCAAAAATATTTATCCTGGGGGTGAACTCTACTGAGCCCTTCTCAGGAGGCACCACAAAAGCTTTTAAAATACCTAGAAGGAATCATTCTGGATCTGATTTTATTTGTGGCAGGGAACCAGGACTAGTTTTGGTGGTGTCATCGTGGGTTCAGAGGTGTAAAATGGGTGTGAAAGAAGATCGACCAAATTGCTTTAAGAACTGAAGGACAGGCTCTAAGATAGACATGTGCTGGGAGGCTTTGCAGATTTGGGTCTCTAAATAGCTTTCTTCCATTTCTATGAGCAAGCAGCAGGAACAGCTGAGTGCGAAAGGAACAGCTGGCCTTCAGTGATAAGGGGTAGCTGTCACTTCATGGTGAAGTTTGAAAAAGTTTGTATTTAGAAGCAGAAGGGAGAGCTATCAGCAGCCACACCCTAAAAGCTGAGCTGTTTTGCAGTTTCTTTGCCACCTGCACTTGGTGATTGGAATGATAATATTTACTATTTTAAGTGTCACAATGTCTTTCTTTTCCAAAATCTGTCTTGTGGCATGACTTGGCATGTAAGATCAGTGACATCAGAGCTGTTGACTGCCCCTAGCTGTGGTGAGGGCAGAGATCTGAAGCTGATGATCAATGACTCAAGAAACTTCATTCACTATTTCCCACATATGGCCTTAAAGACATAATTAGACCTACCCTGCTTTTCAGATTTGGCTCATTGTCTCTACTGCATGTTTCTTTCTTTAATCTTTTAAAATTCCATACTACATTATATCCCGCTGTCCAGAGATAAGCCCTTCACTGTGCCTTGGACTCCATCCCTCTGTTTTCTTGGGTGTTGCAAGGTTTAAGTAATTAGCAAAGACTAACTCATCTGCCCACATAGGAGGGGATCTGCCCTCAGGGCTGGCACTGACAAGTTTCATCTCCCTGACTCAGTATCTCAAATTCCATTTATTCCTCATCTTACCTGTGATTCAGATAATGAACTGTTTCCTGGACACAGAAACCAAAACACCTGAAAGTTGAAGGTGGAACTTTTGGAGGAAGTTTCAAAAGTAACAACTTTGTCAGTGCCCCAGCCCAGTTTGAGACACTGATTCTGTTTACTCTGCCAAGTAAAGCAGATCTCAAATGGCAGGTGCCACAGCATCTGCTTGGCCCTGTATCTAGACTGCTACTGGTGCACATGTGGCTTTTAGTCATCACCTTATTTTATGTGTGCTTTACTTTAAGTTTGGGGTGGTTTCTCTAAGTTCAAAGTGCCTGAAGATGGGAGCAGCCCATCAGAGAGCTCCTTTCACACCCTGAAGCTGAGGTTACATGACATGAAGATATGTGGGCTGTCAGGGTTGATGAGTTGCTGCTGCAGTGTTGAGGAACTGTGTCCTGTGAGGAGTCATGTCTGTGCAACCTCACCCCATGAGCTTTCTGGGTTGGTCCTCTACTGTCATACCCCTTCAGCTGCACCCAGGCGTTGGCTTGGAGAAGAGCTTGGTCCAAGGATCACAACAACAAATAGTATGGATACTGTGGATTCCTGGGCACCTGAGTGGCTTCCATGCATTTGATGGGCTCTCTATGTGAAGCTCACTCGTCCACCTTGCTGCCTGGCCTTGACCAGTTGTTTGCTGCAGTGTTTGAACCACCAGCTTTCCCAAAGCAATTGAATTTTTCCTGATTTTGCTTGGGATTTAGCACAGGCTTATGTACTGCTGTGGTACCCACATGCTTGAAAGCCAAATCTAAAAAGAAAAAGTACTTCAAACTGAATGCCAGTCCCTTGTAACATTCTTTTCATGTTAATTGCTGTTATTATGAAAGACAACATTTGTATGTTGGTGTCCTTGAGAGTTTGGCTGCAGGGAGAGCCCCTCTCTCGGGGAGCCAGCGCTCCCCGAGCAGTGCCCTGACGCCAGGCCCTGCAGCCATTCCTGCCAGCAGGCATGAAATTATTCTGAACTGATTGAAGTGAAGCATAGATTGAAAAGCTTGAGAGACACTGCTTTACTCCATCGTCCTGCTCTGTCTAAACCGTGCCTGGCAATTTTAAATAGCGTCATCCCAAAAATTCCCTCTGACACTGCCACGCTGGAAGTGCTTTTCAGGAGGCAGTGGTATTGCTGCTTTCATTTTAAAAGACAAAAAAGAAATGAGATGGGGAAAAAAACCTGGCCAGTACCACTCAGCAAGGGCAGGACAAGGGTTGGGAGGGTGGCTGGGTGTCCCAGTGCCCAGTCTGGCTTGTATGGCATTGATATACTGCAGAGTAAGGATTTGTTATGTTATTTCAGATCTGAATCTCAGAGATGTCATGGCCTTATTACATTCCCTTGGTGTAGGAAAAAGGCTTTGTATTGCATTAATCT